CTTCTGTATTCCCCCACGGAAGGCATCCGTGCAACCCCCTGCCGGAACAGGCTGAAGGGCGCCGCCTAGGACAGGAGTGACCCCGCCACCCCCACCCAGTAACTCAAGCACTGCCCGCAGGCATTGAAGCAGCAGAGCCTGCTGTGCAAGGAAATACACAAGGATAAAGGCTCAGCCCTGCTCCTGGGCTCCTGGCGACAGAGGCTCATGGGCCACTGGGCAGTCGTGCCTAATGTTCTGCCAGTTTGGTGCAGTGGTTAAGTGCGCGGACTTTAATCTGGGAGAACCGGGTTTGATTCCCCACTCCTCCACTTGCACCTGGCTGGATGACCTTGGGCAAGCCGTAGTTCTGATAAGAGCTGTCCTTGAAAAAGAGCCGTTTCTGTCAGAGCTCTCTCAGCCCCACCTCCCTTGCAGGCAATGCTCCCTCTAAGCTGTGGAGTCCTGTGAGCAAAAATTCTACTTGGTGAGCTACTGGCATTAAAGTTGTGATCAAGTGATTTGGCTACTAAATAAATCAGTTTGCTCCGGAGCCATCGTTCCAGAGCTAAGACATAAATGCGTGAGCTGGAGACTAAAAACCTGTGAGTTAGCTCGCACTAACTCAGCTTAGAGGGAACACTGCTCACCGGGTGTCTGTTGTGGGGAGGGGAGGGGAAGGGAAAGGAGTTTGTAAACTGCTCTGATAATCCCTTGGCTAGTGAAGGGCCATGGGGTATAAATCCAATCTCCTCCTCTTCTTCTCCCCAACCCCCTTAAGCACCTGAGCAGCAGCCCACCCCACTCCTTGTAGAAGCCAGTTCTGGGAGGTTAGTCCTGTTGCCCTGCAAGGCGTATAGTGTGCTCTTATGGACAAAGTTCATAAATTATAAAACTGGACTGTGCAATCTGCGTGCAAAAAGGGACTGAACTGTGTGGTGACCCAAAAAGGATGCCAGCTACACCCGGAAGCAGAAAGCTTTCCTGTGAGATGTTGTGCCAATGGTTCCTGGAAGTTACCTGCCCTCTTACCGCTGTAAGATGGACCAGTTCCCTAAGCCACGTGTAGCGCTAAAAAAACCAAGGGAGAAGACCAGAGACAAAGGAATCCAAACGCCATGAGAAGCTTCTTCCAGCACACGCAGCCACAAAGTGTCACCTTGCTGAAGAGACAGCCATAAGACAATCAAGTCCTTTTTAATGACGATGACTCTAGCCGCATGAGTCATAATCCCTTCATGTGCCACTGTTCTGCCCCAAAGTTACTAGATCTCAATATTGTCCACTCCATTAATCCCCTCCCTCTAAACCCTGCTCCAATAGCATGTTTTTGGGACAGACTAGTAGGAGGTGGGCCAAGACATGTGACCAGCTTAGGCCACCCCAAGAGACATGTGACTAGGGGATGTGGCCAGCCTGACCTAAGCCCCCCCTCATCAAAGGGGGCACCCAGCCATGTGTGCGCGCACTCTCTCTCTCTCTGCATCTAAACCCTACCTATCTTACTGACTCTGGATTAGCTACCCAAGAGTCTTTCCACGTGTCTTTGCTGGTCCAAGAGACGACCCCATTTCCCCATAGTCTCCCTCATTTTTCCTAAGGATCGCTTCATCCCGTCAAAGACAGGTAACAGTATTACCCCTCAACGAAACATCCTGCTAATGCGAAAGTGCTATCCCCTTCTATCTAATTTTCTTAGAACTGTGTGACTGTGGGTGTGCTTGTGTATTGTTTGCTTGTGAAGAATCTACAGTAAAGGAATAATTTTATATTGAACCCAGCCTCCGTGTCTATTTCTGGTGCTTATTTATTTATTTATTTATTTATTAGTATTTTTACCCCGCCCTCCCCGCAAGCGGGCTCAGGGCAGCTTACAAGAGGGCAACAATGCCCAAATATAAAACAAGATTAAAACAGAATAAAATCATCGAATCACAAAAGTAAGATGCTCAATAAAGAACAAGATGGTTTTCCAACGGTAAGTGCTGGATCTTTCATTGGAGACAGATAGTGTCCTGTAGCTGGTACGCGGCCAGTCCAGTGGTACCCACCCAGCGTGGTATCATGGCAGATCTTCAAGGGCTGTCCTCTTACCCAGTTGTTACCCACGCTGCTGCTGGTGGTGGTAGTGGCGGCTCCTACGTAAAAGCCTGGCGGAAGAGCTCTGTCTTGCAGGCCCTGAGGAACTGTATGAGGTCCCGCAGGGCCCTGATCTCCTCCGGGAGCTCATTCCACCAGGTAGGAGCTGCCACTGAAAAGGATCAGGCCCTAGTTGCTGCAAGCCTTGCCTCCTGGGGGCCTGGAATCACCAGGCGATGTCAAGTCCTCGACCGAAGTGCTCTTGAGGGTACATATGGGGAAAGGCGGTCCCTGGCACTGTATGCCGGGCTGCATCTGATCCACACGGCTGGGATATTGCCTCTCGGCCTCTGGAGCTGGGCGGCAGCATCCCTGACAAGACAGGCAGGCCGTCCTTTCTCTGCACCATGGTTAGCACCTGTGGCTTGACGTTTTCTCTGGAGAGCTGGCAGGATTGGTACTTTTGCTGGCCAGGTACCCCGGAAATTTACTGCAACATCAATTGCGGGAAAGGCCACATTCTGATGGAGGCCACGCTCGCTTTGCTGCTCCAGGATCACTGGGCCAGGCTGCTGCTACTGTTAGTCTGTAACTGCAGCATGACACACACACACACACCCCGGGTCAGGACTCTTCCATTTCTACTGCAGCTACTGACAGCTAGCAAAGCCTTGGGGGGGAAAGAGACACGGGAGACTGAAAAATTCACAACACTTTTAATACAGAGGAGCAGCTCATCAACCCTTCCAAAAGGCTTCTGAGGTAGGAATGGACCGCAGCACCCACTGCCTTTTCTGGACATGGCCCAAAGAGGAAGTGACCCAAAAGCCAGACAGAAAGAAAAATCCCCCGTCTTTCTTCTCGACACTAAACGAGGCTGGCTGGCTGGCTGGGTCCGGTGGGAATGGCTGAGCGCAAGAGAGAGCCTCTTTCGTCCTCCTCCAGAGCTTGCTGCTCACAAAAGGGGGGAAGAGGAAGACAGAGGAGTGTGACAGGGACAAGGGGGGAACCGGGCTTGCTTTTACTTCTGGAATTGCCACTCACTAGAACTGCACTTCTCTAGCCAAAAAAAAACCAACCCAGGAAACTGAGCATTTCACACTTTGGACAACGCAGCGTGGTTTTCGTGTGCTGCCGCTGAGACACAAGCCCAACCCCCTGAGATGACAAAGAGGAGGAAGAGAAGAAGGAAGTATTCCTTTCTTCTGCTCCTCATTCCAGAAGCACCTGAACTCAGCGAACCACTTCTCCCCGGTCCCCTTTCATTTCACAGCTGCATCATAAGCATCCCCCCCCCCCCCCCCCTTTTTTTTTTTAAAAAAAAACATACACCTTTTTTTTTCTC